CGCCTTTGCGCAGCCACCGAGTATTGCAGCCCAACGGTCCGTGTTTGGCCAAGATACTTGTTCACCCTCATTCCAGCTACTACCTGCTCCTCATTAGGGCATTGCACAGCCCTTGCTAACTGCCCAGTAGCAAATGCAATGTCCAGTCGTGTATTGACGGCCGCATACATGGAGCTGCTCACCAACGAGTGAAAACGGCGCCTCTCCTTTTCACCAACGCTCCCCTCCTCTGGTCCCTTCACACACTTGAACCTAGAGGGAATGGGTGTAGCCACATGACCTTCACTCTACCCAAAGTTGGCAGCCAACGCCTCCAGTTACTTCCGTTGGTGCACCCGCATGCACCAGTTCTCCACGTCCAGTCGATGTGAAGCCCGAGGTAGAAAATCACGTCGCTAAGTGATTGCACTTGAACTTGTTCTGAAGCTTTATCATCACCTCTTTCACAAGGTCAGAGGAGGGTGAGAATATGAGGATGTCATCTACAAACACCACCATGAAGCTCCTCTGCTCCCCATCGCCGAGCATGAACAAGGAGTGATCGGCCGTTGAGGGAGTGAAGCCGATCTCCTCCAAAACTTCTCGCAGCTTCATGTACCACTGCCCAGGGGCCTGCTTCAGCCCATAGAGGGCCTTTTTCAGCTTCAACACTCTGCCACTACCATCATCAAAGCCCTCTGGCTGCACCAAGAAAATCTCTTTTTAGAGAATGTCGTTGAGGAACGCGGTTGTCACGTCCATTTCTTTCACCACCCATCCTTTGATGGCAGCCCCCGCGAGTAGGGTCCACAGCGGCGTCGGCTTCACCACAAGAGCAAACAACCCCTTGAATTCCACCTTCTCCTTCGTTTGGTACCCCTTGGCCACAAGCCTAGACTTGTAGCATTCGATCTTGCCGCCGGCGTACGACTTGATCTTGAAGAGCCACTTGGACGTTATCGCCTTACGTCCCTCCGGTAGCTCCACCAATTCCCATGTGTCATTCTCCTCAATGCTCTTCAGCTCACTCTCCATGGTCTTCTTCCACTCCTGAGCACCATTACTCTCCAAGGCCTCTTTGAGATTTGCTGGTTCTCCTGGCATCGCCACAAGAGAGAAGAACACGTAAGCACACTCCTCGTAGTCACTCTTCTCGTCGTCTCGGACCATCATTGCCGCTCCGGCCAGGGTTGACTTGCCCTGCTCTCCAGGTGCATCATAGGTCAGCCTATTTGGGGCTTGAACTCTCTTCTTGCTCCTTGCTTCCTCCTCAGCTGCAGGGACTTGAAGGCCTTGGCGTTGCTGCGGGATGACTCGGATCCGTGGAGCACTTGTAGCGCTCGCTCACTTGCTGCACCACCTCCTCCTCTTCCTCCGCATCCTTGGCCTCCTCTCCCTTATTCACAAGGAAATATTGCCTTGTGGTAGTGCTGCTAGTGCTCAGCTCCACGTGCTCCAGGCCGGAACTCTTCACCTCCCCAAACCGCATTGCCTTTCTTTGCCTTGTTCTCCGCCTTCCAATCCTTGTACATGAGGTTCTCCCTGAAATTGCAGTCCCTGCTCACCATGAACTTCTTCGTGAATGGGTCCCAAAGAAGCCATCCCTTGCTGTTTTGAGCCATGCCCAAGTGCACAGCCTCTATCGCCTTGGCACCAAGCTTGTTGTGCCGAAGATGCTAAGGTACGAGCGCCATGCACATGCACCCAAACACCCGAAGCATATCCACCTTAGGCTTCCTTCCAATCCACTCCACATAGGGCACCCATTTGTCTGCTCTCATATGAGTCAAATCTCTGTTCTTGGCCACACATGCACTCCGCACCGCATCAGGCCAGAAATAGTCGATAGCCCGACTTCAATGAGCAACCCGCGTGCCATCTCCGTGATTGTGTGGTTCGCTCGCTTAGCGATGCCGTTCATTGCAGGGGAGTATCGCATGGTAAGGAAGTGCCTTATCCCATTCTTCTTCAGCCACAATCGGAACTCCTTGCTCAGGAAATCTCCCCCTCAATCGGTGCAGATTGATTTCACAAGTCGGTCTTGTTGCCGATCCACCATTGGCAACCAATCGGTCTTCACCGTTTCAGCCACGTCGCTCATCTTGGATAGCACAAACACCCAAGTCATGCGAGTGTAGACGTTGACAATGTTGAGGAGGTACTCTACTCCAGCAGCTCCTAGCGTCAAGGGGCCCACCACGTCCATCACCACCTCATTAAGTGGTGCCTTAGCTGTTGCCTCTGAAGTTGAGAACGGGAAACGGGTGAACTCTGCTTGCATGTACGTCGGGCATCCAAGTACCTCTTCGGGCTCCCCCTTTACACGTTTGCAGCAACCATCTCATTCTTCACTAGTTGCTGCAAGATGGGAAGGGCCACATGCCCCATTCGCCAATGTAAGGTCAACCAATCACACTCCCCCGTAGCCGAAGTCGGATTGGAGAATGCCGCGCTCGCAATAGCGCCCCACATGCTCTCTTCGTAGTCCTCCTCCGCTGCGGTCTTGGGATTCTCCTCACGCTTGTGCTGTTCCTTGGCTGCTGCACCACTCTCCTTAAGTTCACCAAGCTTGCTAGTCCCTCCAAGATTGCACTTGTTGGACTCATTCTCATTAGCACGACCGTTCGCGCCATCGCCGTTACCAACCGCTTCAACCTTGGTGCTGACGCTTGCTGCCACTTGCCTCTCCTTAGGCATGGGGACCACAGGGATTTGCCACATTTTGTCGTGGACATCCCTATCCTCATGAAGGTCCCAAAGTATCCGCTCGCCAAGCCTTGCGGTGTAGGTCTTGGCTCCCTTCAAGCTCGTGTCCATGCCGGCCTTTTGCAACTGCCGCACAAAAATTAGGTTCGCAGCAAGGTTGGGCACCCAAAGCACGTTCTATAGGCCCACCATCTTCCCATCAGCACCCTTGAACATGGCCTTGCCCATAACCTTTCACCTCTGCTCCCTGCCCCAGAACCGATGTGACATGCTTCATCGGTGATGGTTTAAGTTCGGTGAGCAAGTCCACGCGAGGTGTCATGCTATAGGTAGCGGCGCTATCGATCACCCAATAATCAAGGGAGTGTAGGGTCATCTTCCCCACAGCAGCAGGCTCCTTCAAGCCGTCATCCTTCTCTGGTTTAGCCGGTGCTTGTGTCGAGACGAAGAAGAATTGACACGGGAAACCATCATCGCTCGAGTCGTTCTCGTTGCTGTCACTATTTGTCTCCCTTCTCCTGCTCCTCTACCCTCTTGGCCTTGAGCAGGGTTCCATCCATCAAGGAGCTTGTAGCAATCGCGCCACATGTGTCCGCTCTTGTGCCAAAAAGTGGCACTTGCCGTCGAATCGGCCGCGACCGTGTCCGTAGCTCTTGTCGTCGCTGCCGTAGCTTCCACTTCCGCGGCCTCGACTGAAGTTGTTGCTGCCAAATCTGCCTCCCCCTTGTCCTCTGCCCCTTCCACGGTCGTAACCGTGGCTGACGCTTACTGCCCTAGCGCCATCTGAACCCGCCAACTTTCAGCGGCAGAAGTCCTCTTGAAGAATCGCTCGCTTCACGTTTTCAAGCGAGAGCCGAGGTAAGTCGCGATTTAGGTTGATGAGCGAGGACCATGACTCAGGGAGTAAGGCCAGCAACTTGGTCTACTTCTGGAGCTCAGTGTAGTTCAAATCAGCTCCCTCAAGCCGCGTCAACTGCATCTTAGCTGCATCTCGACTCCCATGACTCATCTTTTCTTCCCCCAATCACAAATTTCAGTTCCCCCTTTGCTGTCCACACCAAAGTCCCACATTATTTTCACAAGTGTTGACGCCAACGAAATCTAGGAGGGCCTTAACACTTGAGTAGACTCCCCACAAGGTCCTTAATTAGCTCTGATGCCACTTATTACAGACTAAGGACGGAGTCTAGGAAGATTAGGTGCCGAAATATCTCAAAATCGCTGGACAAATTCTCTAGACAGAGACCTCGACTCTGCAAGAAACGCTGTCGACAAAATGTTCAATGTTAAAACGTCACGAAACTTAGATATGTTCTAGCTCTAGATCGTGGCTAAAATTCCCAATTTTAATCATATAAAAGGGTAAAGTAAATCAGGGGTTATGAATTTCAGCGCACCAGGGGGTATGCCTCCATAGAAACTTATCTCAATCACAACTATTTCACAAGTTACACACACTTAAGTTAGAGTAGTTAGAAACTAGGTAGGAGAGGATGAGGAGGACAAGAGGGATCGTTCCCAAGGAGTCCCTGACCAAGGAAACCCCATGCCACACAAATACCCTCTCTATAGGTACCCAACTTGCACCCTTATCATTTTCCCAACCTCCACAATCCACCAAACCCCAACTTGGCCACACTTGCCAACCTAGTTTGACATCTCCCAACTAGTTTGCATCATCTACAGTGATGGGAACGAAATTTCCAGCCCTCAAAAGTTTGTACCCCATATTGAGTCAGCCCGCAAATTCCTATAGTCGCTGCATCGAATTCAAAACTTCAAACAATAATAACTTCGTCGTTCTTCCTCCGATCGCAACGATTCTTGGTTCGTCGAAAAGCTTTCGACCAGAGGAGTCATTTCAACAATCTGCTCAAACAAATTCACATTCACACATACCCAGAAAATCTAAACCACACCATACACAAATTCTTGCAATAGTATTGAGCGTCGGGCGTGTAACCGCACCAAACACAAATCCGCACCACTCGAGCGTCGGGCCTCGAGATCGAATCCGCATTGCATTGTCTGTCGGGGTCGTACAGGCTCGAAGTACATTTTGAGGGACGCAATGAATTGAGGGATGCAATGAATTGACAGACGTTGGTGTCTCTCGCATTCAGATTGAACCTCTCCAGTAGCCTCGGTCGTGCTGACTCAAGATTCACTGTGGCTACTGCTGGGTGAAGTGTCAGTGTCGCCGCTACTGCTGCTACTGCCATCGATGCTGCATTCGCTGCTGCGTTCGCTTCTGCCGTGGCGGCTAGCTACTAGTTCGCAAGAAGCTCCTCTATTCGCTGGAATTTCGCTCGCGTCTAGTCGATGTTGGTGCGTAACTTCGCCAGGGAGACTGCAACTGGTCGACTAAGCGGCGTAAGCGTGGTGCGGTCTCGAAAGAAGGAGCGGGAAGCACCTGAGTCAAGGGTGAAGGTGTGTAAGGTTTGAGCCGACGTGGTACCTGAAGGGGCAGATTCACCAGCACCTGGGGCAGCAGACGCACTAGCACCTAGAGCAGCAGCCTTACCAGCACCTAGAACAGCGGCCTCAATGCCCGGGTCAAGCGGAACACACAGGTAACAGTCGCCCTCATCACTATTAGACACATCATACATGGCAGCAAGGATAGCATCATAATCAAGATCAAAGATAGCAACCCCCGCCCTAGACAGCTCTCCTCACCCACGGATCTCAGTGGCGTCAGGGAACTGGTGACACGACGCGTCCCTCACGTGGCCTAAGCAGCCCTGGGTGGAGTGCGCACCCCCGCACTGCTCACCAGCGCGGTCGCCGGTACGGAGGACGTAGGTGCAGAGACCAGTACCCCCACCTCGCTGACGCCCAACGTACCACTCACAAACATGCTGAGGGGACACGGTCTAACGACTACGTCGTTGCTGCTGGCGCGGACCACCTCCGGACCCACTCCTCTGCGCAGAGTCGCGACCTGCTCCACCGCTGCCGCCGCCACCTCTGCCGCCTCCGCCACCTCCGCCGCCTCCGCCACCTCCGCCGCCTCCGCTCCCTCTGCCATCGCCCCTGCCTCCTCCGCCTCCACTACTGCCACCAACACCTCCACCCCCGCCACCACTCCCACCACCATCCCCACCCCCTCCACTGCCTCCACCACCACCTCTGAGAAAGTTACAACGAGAATGAAAATGACTAAGACAAAATTGGGTACAAATACAACCCTAGAAAGTTGTACCCCATATATGCTACCCCACTATAGCCTACAACAGCTATGTCATGCAAATCTAACACACCCCCATAGGCAATGTGGGGGAGAACTAGGGGTCACAAGACCAGTCAAGCAAAGCAAAACAAAGCTCAGGGTGGATCACAAAGTCACCACACATTCCGAGCACAAGTTCAAGGCCAGAAGGCCTGTTCACATGCACGAGCACACACATATATATAAAAGGCTAAACAAGCAAGAGCAGCAGGATATGTATGTGACAGTACAAGCACAGTCAAGAAGTGAGCAAGTGATGCAAGACAGGTACAAGGCCAAGCTGAGTACAGAAGCGCTGATGATCACAAGGCACAAGAGCCTTAGTGAAGATATCAGCAGTGGTGGCCTCATAGGCCACGTACGCAAGTCGCAGCTGACCACACTGCTGCAGCTAACGAGCAAGAAAGTAGCAGAGAGCAATGTGCTTCGTTCTCTGCTCCAAGCGCTGCTCCCAACACAACGCAAGCATGGCCTTGTTGTCTACGTACAGCACTCGAGGAGAACGAGGCTGCTCTCGGAGGTCAGTCGGCAGGTAGGTGAGCCATCGAAGCTCCTGTGCAGCCATGGCTCCGGCGTAGATATCAGACTGACAACTAGAGCCGAGAACAGAAGAGGAGCGAGAAGACCGCCACGAAACAGAGCCGGAACCAAGTCTGAAGGTGTAACCCTGTGAGGACTGCTGTGTAGCCTGGTCATCAGCCCAAGAAGCGTCTGCGTGCCCAGTGAGGACCACTGGACTCTGCCCTCCAAGCACTAGCCCCATGCCCGACGTACTGCACAAGTAGCGCAACACCCTCTTCGCTACAGCCATGTGCTCTGGTCTGTGTCTCCCAGGAGCAACATAGCGTGCAAGAATGCTAAGATGGGTATGCAAGGTCAGGTCGTGTGCAGGTCATCAGGTACATGAGACAGCTAACAAGATCTGGGTACGGGCCACTCGACTCTACGGACTCATCCGAAGGCACAGCTGAGAGCGAGTGGCGAGTAGCCACAGGAGTGGCCTGAGGCGAGGAGTACGTGAAGCCGAAGCGCTGAAGGACCTGCTGCACCATGTGTGACTAAGTCAGAGTAGTGGTGCGGAGTGCTTTGTCCCGGGTGATCTGCAAGCCAAGGTAGCTGCGCAGTTCACCCAGGTCTGTGCACGTGTGTCTCTTCGACAGCTCCGACTTCACGTGGGCGAGTCCAACAGTGTCGGCAGTGGCAAAGACCAAGTCGTCGACATACACGAGGATGTAGAACAGCGGCAAAGAGGTGTCGGTGCGTAGAAACAGCGACGGGTCGGCAGTAGAGGGAGCAAACCCAAGAGCCGCAAGTGTAGTCCTCAGTGTGTCGTGCCACTCATGCGGTGCCTGGCAGAGACTCTAGACTGGCTGTCGGACGCTCCACTGGGTGCCAGGAGGAAAAGTCCTAGTGAAGCGAGGTGGACAGCGCAGCCAGATCTCCTCGTGTAGGCTACCTTGCAAGAAAGCAGTGCTGAAGTCAAGGGAGTGAAGCTCGTAGTCACGCTGAGCGGCTATGTGCAGCAGCACCCGAAGAGTGGTCATCTTCGGGGTGGGAGAGAAGGTCTGAAAGTAGTCAACTTCCTGCCGCTGACTGAAGCCACGAGCCACGTACCGCGCCTTGAAGACAGGTGGAGAACCTGACGGCCGCTTCACCCTGAAGATCCACATGGCACTGACAATGTTCTCCCCAAGTGAGGGAACCTCGTCAACGTAGGTGCCTGTGGACTTCCAGGAAGCCATCTCTGCATCCATAGCTGCCTGCCACTGAGAGAAGTAGGGACCCTCTACGGCCTCCGCGTAAGAGCGCGGATTTGGGATGTCAAGTGCATCCAGGTCTCCCTCAGGGGTAAGTAGTACGGACACGAGATGAGGTGAAGCAGCAGCCACATACTGGAACTCCTCCGGCCTGTCCTCAAGGACGTCCGTGCCAAGAGCACACTCACCCCCGACGGACTGGAGGACAGACACACGCAGACTCAGCAACAAGACTAGCAGCGTAGTCTAGACGACAGCGAGCAGCAAATTTGACGAGCTCAGCAACCAGAGCAGACGCATCAGTAAACTCAAAGGAGGGACCTCCAGCAGCAACAGCAGCACCCACAGCAGGACCACCGCCAGGACTGATAGCAGTAGCCTCAGCGCCAACATCCTCAGCAGCTCCAGCTCCAGTCGTACCCGCAGGCCCAGCAGCTCCAGCACTCTTAGGACGAGCACCTCCGGGACCGGTGGCACCAGCACCCTCAGCAGCCGAAGAAGCTCCAACTCCAGCAGTACGCCTCCAGTGCCGGGCAAACCACTCGGGTAACTCCTATGGAGAGAGTGGCTCCCGTCGAGACGAAGCACTCGGAGAACGTCCAAGACTAGCACCGCCAGACTTAACACTAGCACGGTCGAGCGGCCCGCGGCTCCTCACCCCTAGGCACAGCAGCTCCAGACGTGGCACCCCAAGGCTCAGCAGCTCCTAACGTAGCACCCCCAGGCTCAGCACCCCCAGGCGAAGAACCCCCAGGCTCAGCACCCCCAGTCGCAGCACCCCTAGGCTCAGCACCCCACGTCGCAGCACCCCCACGCTCAGCACCCCCAGGCTCAGCACCGACTCGCGCAGCACCCCTAGAGTTAGCACCCCAGGCTCAGCACCCGCAACAGTACCAGAGTCACCAGCAACCTCGATCGGCTTGACTGCGTCAACCTAGGACACACCTGAAGGGGCAGGACCCTGAGGGGGGAGGGGGTCTACCGGAGGGGAACCTTCCACAAGGAAGTGCGGTGGTGGGGGGAGGGAAGGAGTGCGGTAGGGGAAGGAGTGCAGTAGGGGAAGAGGCGGTAGTAGGGGACTCACTCCTCGAACGTGACATCCTGGGAGGACAGAATACGACGAGAGGTGGGGTGGTAGAACTGCCACCCTGGGGCGTCAGGGGGGAAGCGAAGGAAGACACTAAGGGGAGCAGCACAAGGGGACAGCTTGTCCGCAGACAAGTCGCGGACAAACGCCCGAGATCCCCAGACACGGAACGCAGACACATCGCCGACCTTCCCTGTCTAGAGCAAGGCTGGGGAGGTCTCCGGCATGGAGACCCTGGGGTGAAGATTGATCTGATGCGCCGCGTACCGAACCGCAAACGGCCACAGAATATGGGGGGCATCCGGATGCATCATGGACGTAGGAGCGACGTCTATGACCATGCCAATGCGGCGCTCAGCAATCCCATTTTGCTGTGGAGAGTCTGGAAGCGTAAAGGTCTGGCGCATGCCTCGCGCACGGCAGTAGGCTCGCAAAAGGCCAGAGGAGAACTCTCCGCCTCGGTCAGAGTGCAGACGCAGAGCAGGAAAGTCCGAGCCGAAGCTCCTCCTGAGCTGGAGACGAGCTGCGTGGATCCAGTCGATCAACACCTCAGTGACATCGCCCTTGCTGCGCAAGGGGAAGACTGTGGTGTAACGCGAGTAGTCGTCAACCACCAGCAGGAAGTAGCGCTCGTGACCCTGTCCACGGACGCGGGCCGGGCCCCACACGTCCATGTGAAGCGTTTGCAGCGGAGCCTCTGTCGGGGGGAACTGAGAGGAGTGAGGGGCAGCGCGTAGCCGCCCCTCGACACAGGGAATGCAGCAAGGACCAGGCCCCGGAGGAAGGGGAGGGAGGGACCGGGGAAGACCAGAGACAAGGACACGGGAAGCCATGCCTCAGAGACGAGGCAGGGAGGGGTGACCAAGACGGTGGTGCCACAGGCGAGTCTCGTGAGACAGGAGGCGACACGAGCAGGGGGCAGACTCAGGACCAGACCTGGACGCTGCAGCAAACACTTGACCCAACGCAGCTACCTAGCCAGACGTAGGGACAGGAGGAGACCCTGTGGTCAGGGTGTAGAGGCTCGACCCCGGCCGACGCGTAAACCTGGCCAGGAGCCGGCCTGTGCGGGCGTCCGAGCAGTGGGTCACCCGCTGACTCGCAGGAGTAAACTGGTGAACCCCCGCATCCTGCAGGTCAGAACCACTCACCAAGTTCGTAGAGAACGAGGGGAGGTAGAGACCAAACAAGGTGCCAGAGGGGGCAGCCGGACACGGGAGGACAAAGGAGAAGTGAGAGAGGACAGGACCCCAGAGGGGTCTGCAAGGGAGATTGAAACCGGCCGACCAAGCGGCGTGATTGTGGTGCGGTCTCGAAAGAAGGAGCAAGAAGCCCCTGAGTCAAGTGTGAAGGTGAGGGAGGCCGAAGCCGACGTGGTACCTGAGAGCGCAGACTCACCAATACCTGAGGGCGCAGACGCACTGGCACTTAGAGCAGCAGCCTCACCAGCAGGTAGAGCAGCAGTACCAATGCCTGGGTTGGGCGGGAAACACCGGTAATAGTCACCCTCATCACTAATAGTCACAGCATACATGGCAGCAAGGATAGCATCAAAGTCAAGATCATAGATAGCTACACCTGCCGGGCTCGGGCGGCTCGGGCGGCTCGGGCGGAACGGGTGGCTCGAGTTGCGGAGCGGTGCGGGGGTCTTGGTGGTGTAGGGCGATATGGCCGCTGGTAGGGTGGCGGGGCCGCAAGGTAGGCGGCAGGAGCCGCAGCGAGCGGGGCGGCGGGGCCGTAGCGAGAGGGGCGGCGGGGCCGCAGCGAAGGGCGGGGGTTCCGCAAGGTAGTCAACGGGGCCGCAACGAGAGAGGCGGCGGTGCCGCAGCCAAGGGCGGCGTGTCCGCAGAGAAGGGCGGCGGGGCCGCAGCGAAGGGCGGTGGGGCCGCGGTGAAAGGCGGCGGGGCCGCAGTGAAGATCGGCGGGGCCGCAGCGAAGGGCGGCGGGGCCACAGCGAAGGGCGGTGGGGCCGCAGCGAAGGGCGGCGGGGCTGCAGCGAAGGGCGGCGAGGCCGGGACAGGGCG